ACTGTCCAAAGTGATATGGCACTCCCTTGCGACACAAACCTTTGTGAACCTCATTACAGCAGCAAAGTGAAACATGCGCAATTACCTCCATATGTAACAACACTGAATTTACAGTTGTGACCACATGTTTGTCACAGAATGACTGTTGGAGTCAGAAAGTCAGAATTCTGACTTTAATCTGTTGTGCAACCAGGGTACCACACAGGGATGGCGTGCACGCTCTCGATAGTGGCACGGTTCACTGCAAAAACTCAAAATCTTACCAAGTATATTTCTCTTATTTCTAGTCAAATATCTCATTACACTTAAAATAAGACAAAAGCAGCTACAGAGCAACATTCCAGTAAGCTACAGAAAAACTAGATAATTTTCACTTGTTTCATTGGTAGATTTTTATTTCAAGTCAAAATATCTTGTATTAAGTGAAAAAAATCTGTGGAGGTTGCACTAATGGTTTTGAGAATTTTCATTTTGATCTGAGAAAAACTGTAAAAATCCAACAGGTGATCTGAGCTTGGTGCCATGGTACTCTGCTGGAAGCAGCCATTACTGTGGTCAGCAGCACTCAGCAGGCCTCGGTGTTTAAATGATGAACAGTCAGCTGGGGACCGAAGTGTGAGAAGATAATGTCCTCCAACCCATTATACCAGACAGAGAGACAGGATGGATTCATGCTTTCATGTTGTTCACACCAAATTCTGACCAGAACATCTGGATGTTGCAGCAGAAATCAAAACTCATTAGACCAGAAGCGTCTTTCCAATCGTATGTTTCCCAGGTTTGTTGAGCCTCAGTTTCCTGGTCTTAGCTGTGAGTGGTAACGCTCGGAGGGATCTTCTATTGTTAAGGCTGCTGCTGAAGTGAAGTTATTTGGCTTGCTGTTGCCTTCCTATCACCTCAAAGCAGTCAGGCAATAACAATGACATGTTTATTTCATTTCGCCACATGACAGCTCAAAAAAACCTTATTTAGTTACAGAAGCGTTGGAAACCTTGTTGATCTGCTTATCTGGTCCTTTTTCATCTGATTTCTTAGCAAGGTATTTTTGGCCACAGAAATATGGCTCCCTACATATTTTCTCTTTTTTTCTGACCTCTCCCTATAAACTGTTACAGATACATGGTTGTTAGGAAAATCCTAATATATGAGCAGTTTGTGCAGGGTTCAAAGTCACCCTTCTCCTTCATGCCTGCATGTCTAAATGCTCGCAGTTCCTGCCATGCTGCCATATAATTAACTGGATATTTGCACTAATCAGGAGTCGATGCGTTGATGGTTTATAGCAGGAGGGTATTTCCATAGAAGTTGCCCAATAAATCAAGAAGCTCCACTAAAACACATCAGTTTAGTAAAAAATGAAACTTTTGAGTCCAGTATGGATATGAAATATTGGCATAATGACCTAAATGCACCCTGTACACCGCCTCGTTCTTTTACCCCGTTGAGGTTCATGTAATCGTCCTTCTTCAAAGTACTTTTTTTAATCCTAATGTGCAATGATGACAGAACAGAACAGACTGGATAATGAAAGCCTCGACTCATCGTCACCACCTCTATTATAGTGGAGTCTTTTCAGACATGAAAAGTAATTCACTGTCTTTAGGGGGAAATGCTGTCATAGACATGAATGAATAGATTATATTTTGTGACCCAAATGAAGACAAAAGACAAGTTTACTTCCTTAGTTACACTTTGCTCGCACCAGCTTGGATCTCCTTTTGCCTTCAGAGCTGCTTAAACTCTTCGAGGCTCGCCGTGTGAAATAATGACTCAGATCTGTCAAAACAAAAGTAACGAACCTGTTTTGAGAAAGTGCAGAAATTTGTTTAAAAACGGAGTAAAAGTAAAACGCTGTCAGAAGAATACAGCACAGATGTATTTGCACTTTGTTCCCTCCCACCTCTGCAGTCCATGGTGATGTTTCGTATACGTCACATTAAAATATGAATATTGCTAATTATAAAAAAGACACTGACAGGAAGAGCTGTGATGAAGAATCTTTTATTGGAGAGTTATGACATCACTGCTAAGCAGTATTTCAGCACAGACCTGCTCTGTGGTTTACGTCTAACAGTCTCTAAATAGATTCAGCATTTGAGCTGCTAGATGTTTATCTGTATGCACAGTGTTGTGCTTTTTTTAAACATGCTGCTGTTCTTCCACTTCTTTTCCTCAGCTCTCCTTTTCATTTGCCCCTTACCATCAGATCCGCCCATCCTGGTTTCTACTTGTATTTGCTGCCCTCCAGCGCACTGCATAAATGCTCTATTCCACTTCCCCTCCCTCATCCTCATCAGCAGCACACGCTTCAAACTCCTTCTCGGGTAAGAGGCCATATTCATTGAGAAAGGCCTCAACATCCGTCGCAAAGAACTCTTCATTGAAGTGTTGGGTCACAGCCAGGAAGTTACCCAGTAACTCACCAGCCTTGTACACCAATAGGGTCGGAAGAACCTGCAAGAATAGCAACAAAACTCCAAATGAGCTTGTAGTCATTATAATTGGAAGTAACTCCCAGCCACAGGAATACTTCCTGGACAAGAAACCTTTAAAATAATGTTTTCAGTAAAGGGAACAGGATGGAAATAAGATCCCAGAGAAATCCCTGCAGGGATGGAGTTGTCCACTTGTCCTCATTTTTATAGACCTTTTCAAGCACACATTGTGTAGACACAGAGATATACATGAAAACCAGATGTTTTTCTTGTTATTTCAGTTATATTTGCACGTTCTGGAGCTGAAAGTGTATTTAAAAGTCTAAATCAGCAAGGTAGCAGTGCACTAACCTCAGAGGAGAAGCGTTCAGCAGCACCGGTGGCCACGGCATCGATACGGCAGAATTTGACACTGGAGTATTCAGTAGCCAAACAGTCCAGGCATGAGTTCAGCTCTTCACAGCCTGACGAAGCACAGAGAAGAAGAAGAAGTTAGTCGTGTTGAGACTACCCTTGAATATGCACCCCCCTCAAACACCTGACCTTTGACACCATGCTGGTAGATATGGACCACCACCAGGGTCAACCGGTGTTCCTTCTCTATGACTTCAAGGAAGGCTTCTCCGCTCTCAAGTTCATGGACGGATTCAAACTTGGGACCAAAGCTGAGGCGCTCGTGCATTTCCTGCATGCACTGTTTCCTGTAGCGTTTTAGGCAGCGTTCGTCCTCCTCTTGGATCAACTCGTACTCCTGAACGCTCATCTACAGGTGAGAAAACATCTGTTACTGCTGCACTTGCTTTTACACTTGCATGCCTCTCTGTGTCGTTACTATAATTATATTGTTCCAGATGTTTCCGTTCACCTTTCTGTTGAGTCTCTCCTTGTCGTCATCTCGAGGACTGGACATTTGTCTCAGCAGCTCTCTCTTGTTCTGAGGGACAGTCTGATCCACACTGTCCAACTTAAACCTTCGCCAGTCATTAATGACACCTTTGGGACCTGCAGACACACAAAGAAGTGTAACAAAGCAACGTGTTTTCATGAGTCAAAACGCCACGAGTCGGCGACCA